TTTTGCTTAAGCTCTTTGACACAATTTTCATAAAGGGAAAGGAAAGAGGTAATTACATTTTATATGGGATGAGGTGAGGACAGAAGTACAAGAGCTTAAGAGGAGAGAGAGAGAGAGAGAGATTCACCAGGAATAGGAAAAGATATGAGGAACTGTGGTTACTTAAAGCAGCAGGGACCTATGCCCACCCAGAACCCAGGGAGGTACTGTGACCACTGTGGATATGACCCTAGGTATCTGGGCTCCCTGTTTTGACAAAGATTTCCACAGCTACACAAGACACAGAAGTTGCAGAGTCACCGCAAGAGACTAAGTGAGCAATGAGTGTAACAATCTTGACCAGTGTAGACTATAGATTGGTGGGGTACCCCTATGTTTTCTGATCCCTCAGACCTTCGTACAACCCTAGTAGCTAAATAAGGGAAGAACAAATAATGATTAAGTTTAAATTTCCTCTCAGACTGGTGGGATAAGAGTTGGAGTTCAAATAACCATTTTTTGTTTGTTTTGGATTGGTTTTTGCACATACAGGTTTGTGGAATAAAATTCATAAATACTTTCTACACTGTCAAATGAAGTGCCTATATTCCCAGCTGGTCATATAATATTAATTTTACTTTTAGAGAGAAGATTTTCATTTTTGTGTAGTCCAATTTACTTTGAACTTCATTATATTCATTTCTCACTATATGGACTTGTGAGACTCAACTTCATGGTGTTAAAAGTTTGCTTTTAGAATTTTGGAAATATTGTTCCATTTGGCATGCATTTTAATGGCTACCTGCAAGTCAGACACAATCTTTCATCAGCTAAAATAGTACCTTCAGGGGATGCCTGGAATTTGATATATCGGTTTATGGGAACATAATTTAAAAATTTGGGATCAATAGTATATTGACAAACTTTGATGACCCTTAAATATGTCTCAGGATGCTGCAACATTGAGTCATTCTTGTGAAAAAGAATCAGATTCAAACCAAATGTTTGTACAAAACAGACAGTTATATAGCTTGTTTTTGTGCTGTTTTCATGTTATTAAATAACCTTTGTCATTTCTCATGATCCTTGGGTAATTACTAAAGGGGCATAGTGGTCCCTTATGTGTTGCTTTTAAAGGTAAACAAAACTTTAAAAGACACTCTTTTAATTTTGTTTTGACCTACCCTTTGTTACATTTCAGGTTTGTAGGGTAAAGTAAGTTGAAGTTACCCAAAATAGGTCATTACACTTTGGTCACTGGAACCCAGATGGTACTCTGATTAAACAATTGGATTTGTGAGTTTCCATTTCAGGCTGTTGTAAATTAAATAGCACTAAGGACAATCAAATCAAAAAAGACTCAGTTTTCCCTTTAAACTCATGTTTTTATTGGGTCTTTGCTGTATAAGCACCAAATGAGGCACTTTGATGTATGGGATGGCAACATTATAAGAAAAAGTTAATCCCAAACCTGATTTTGTATTTCTCTACAAAGTAGGCTGTGCACTAGCTGCTGAAAATATAAATCCATATAGAATCAATTTTATTCCCTTAGGAACTATTCTTCTTTAATCAGTTGCCATGGTTGTAAACAATATAAAATGTAACACTGACAATGTTTTTTGAAACATGTTGGCCTTTATTACATTAGCTGTCTATTGAAGAGCAGGCACACTCAACCTATCCTTAGGTGAGGGTTAAAGGATCTATAAAGAAAAAAGTGTTATTATACTGGAAAAAGATTGTTAATAGACTTGCACTGTTGGAGTCTGTAAACCCACTGCTCCCTTTGAGAATGATAAAGTTACCAATAGCGATTTCTATTCATGACCTACACTATCCCATCCTTTTGTAAAGGATCCCCAGGATAATGCCATCTTTCAACCTTGGGGCATCACCCTGCCCATTCTAATTCCAATCTGTGATGATATTTTTGTTCCTTGGCTCATAACACTGTCCCTTAAAGTAGTTGAAGTCTGTGGGTCCTATGTATCAAGCCGAATGAGTCAATTTGATCATAATGAAGTATTTTGAATTTAGCCTCTAAAAGCCTGAACAAGCATGTCATGTCCAGGTAACCCAACTCCTGAATGTCTGGCCATACTTGACAAATTAGGACCACACCAATTGGCTCTAACAGGAAAGTCTGATGAACATCTCTCCAGAATGTTCTGAGACAATAGGATCTTCATGGGACCGGTCCTCTAACGCTTTTGTGACCTGCTGAGAGAAGTGCTATTCCCCTCCTGACCCTAACTGAAGAACTTGGCAATTGACAATCTTCCATATTTATCTTCCATTTTCTACCATGACTCTGCACTAAACCCTTTATTGAATGTTAATAAACTATAAATCTTTACTCCACTTTTTGGATAAAGTTTCTCCTCTTTTTTCTCCACTGGACTTCAGGACAGACACTGGGATGGGATGGGAAGGAAGTCAACATTAAAACTTGCTCAGGTTTTACCCATACCCTGTGAGTCTGTGTGTCTGTTTAAAGTTCCACATATTTAGGGGAAAACTAATCCCACCACTGTACCCAGAAAGATTTTACTTTCTAATTCCACCACTGTACTCAGAAAGATTTTAGTCAGGTTAATATACCCCTCCTTGGCTAGAATTCCTAATGGAACAATAGGCAGAACCCGTAACACCTCCCAATCAGTGCATTATTATATACTTTAAAGAAATGAATATTCCTTGAATGAGTCTTAATTCTGAGGTATTGGACGAGTGTATTTCAAATAATGACATCAATAAATACATTTAAAAACATTTTATTTTTAGAGGTTGAACAATGATTCATTGCAGACTTTCTGATGAAACAATTAGCAGTTTCAAAGATTATTTCAATAAATTTTAAAATTAGAGCACAGATTGAATATAAATTGATTTAAATAGGCACAGTTTTGAAAAGAACTGAAGAGTACTTAAAAGATCCCATTGAATTCATGTGGCACTATTCCTAGTTTTATTGATAGTGTCTCAATTAAATGTCCTGGCAGAAAACACTTAGTGATCAATTTATCTAGAAACTGGTAGCACTGAAAATATTAAAATTTATACATTCTAATGGTTTGCGTGTGTATGCTTCTATGTATACATGTGTGATTTCTGCTTTGCCTATTTTACTATCTTAATGATGATTATCCTTTCTTACTGTTTCCTCTGAGGCTCTTACCTTACTTCAAGAGACCTAATCACACTGAACTTTTCTTGTCAGCCCTTTGCATACATCATTTTCTAGCTTTTGAACATTTTCAATAATTCCTTCTATTTTGGACAAGGGCTTTGGTGAAAGAACTAAAGTACACTAAAGTAACACTGTACTCTGTCCCAATGCTACTCAAACTTGCCAGAACTTTCATGCTTCAACTCAAAGAACTCAGGAATCTGGCTTTTCAGAAATCCCCCTCAATGCTTCTCTGGTGGGCCAGGGCTTCCAGGTACTGCTGTTACAAGGTGAGGTGTAGTTATAATTTTTTCTGTCACTGTGCACTGACTGTGAAATTTAATTGTCCCTTCACTTTCTTGTTTCAGCTGGCAAAGGATGTAAAAATGGATGGATTAACATCTAAATTGGAAATATTTATTACCTACAAACCACTTTAAATATTTTCAGTCCTTCCTAAGTTGGCTATCCAACATCTCAATCTCCTTTCTTAAAATATGTGCCCAGCTTCCTTTCCTCATTAGCACCTTATCATTTAACGCTCAATTACACATTTGCAATGTCTCTTGCTTGTTTACTTTGGGACACCTCTGTAGATGCAGTTCACTATTGTGTATATTTATTAGAATAACAGCCACAGAGCACAATGGGAGTTGACTTCCTAAAATAGTTTATTGTCTTACTGTGTTAAAAATATGATTTTAAGATAAAACTTATTTTTGAACCTTAACTGAGTAAATATTATGAAGAAAAAATGAATTCTTAAAAGACTTGATTCTACACACTACTTAAATGAGAAAATTTTCTGAAATTCCAACATAGCAAGCTCCATTTGCTCAGCGATGAGGTACTTGCACAAAGTTCCCCATGGCCTTTTTGGTGTACAAATTTATAATAATGAAGACTACTTCTAAGGAAATAATTTGACATAAAACTGTTTTCTCTTTAAACTACTGCATTTAAAAAGTCATTTGAGTTGTAAACACTCAAGGATAAGCCAGTTTTAAGATCACATTATTGTGCCACAGTAACAGAAATGTGAATCACATTTACCTCTAATTCATGGATTCAGGTTCTCCTAAATTCTCATTATTGAGCTACTACATTCTTGATATAAGTTGTTAGGAAAATCCAAATCATCATTCCAGGCGCCAAGGTGCCAAGAAATAACGTGCTATCATGAAATCACACATAGTCTGGTTTTATTATCCCACTAGCACTGTCTTCAGATTTTAGAAGCAGAACTAGAGGAATTATAGTGAGGTATACTTTGTGGTAGTTCTGTTGCTTCTCTACTGCTCCAGAACTAACCATGGTATTGAGGATGGATATGCAGAAATGATGCTTTTCACCAGGTAGCAATTACCATAGGTGACCAAACGCCACCTATCTATGGCGTCTATAACTTATTGGGGTGATGGACTAGAATGATTTTTTCACGACTATAAATTTGTAGACCTAGGTATTTGATGAAAGTTGTATTTTCTTTCAAAATCTTTTTTTAACCTATTACATTAAGTCCCTACATGTGGACTTATCACTTTTAGATTAATTTCTGATATTACAGAAATAGAAACATGAAAAACACAAGTATTAGCAGCCAAAACTTTTTGTTGTTACATTTTGTAATTTTTGTTTAATGACTGGAGTGAAATTTTTATATAGTTTAATCTGGAATCAGGAAAATATTTAATGCTTCTGATGGTCACACTGTTGGCCAGATAAGAATTTTGATAAATCAACCAATTTGTCTTTGGGGATAGAATTTGACGCCTACTTTAAAGTATTAAAAAATACAACTTATTCTACAGTACATGTGCATAGGAGTTCAGTCCTGTATTCAGGCTTGCAAGTGTATTATTTGGTGGTTTTTAAAAACAGCTATTACACATCTTTGGAGTTTCTGAGGAAAATCAAGCATCTGAGGCTTTCTTCCTTTCTTCTTATCAGGAGAAAACCAGCTTAACATGGGGTGAAAGAACACAACTGTTCTCTGTCTGTGGGCTTAACTGTCATGGAGCAATGAGGAAATGGGTGGCCTTTCCGCCTTTATCACTGTAGTTTTCTCCAGGCATGCGGTTGTTCAGCCTTAGTCTGGTTTATGTTTAGTCCTTATTATTTTCATTTCATAATCTAACCTTTGGTTCTTTATAGGACTTGGCAAATTTGCATATGGTTTGTTGCTATTTTTATTTTTTCCAAAAAAATCCCCCTCATTCAGGGCCAACTCTTTTGAAAACTGTTTGGAATCTAACTTATTACAGGTTTCTTAACTCCATGTTGTAAATTCTGAATATGGATACTGTCCAAACTGTCCAAAGAGTAATGTTTGAATTCACAGTAACAAAAGTTACAAGGTTTGTGCAAAAGATATTGTACACCATTGGAGTACATAGAGCTTGCTATAGTTAATTTTATATATAAAGCTACATTTCTCATTAAAACTATTCTGTGCTACATTAAAAGTATCTGATTTAATTTTTCCCTACCAGTAAAACTGAATGCTCATTTAATCTCAGAAATTTAAAATGCAAATTGCATATTTATGATGTTTGTAATTTTTATAATAAATCATTGGAACCTTTTAAACACCATAATTGCTTTGGAGCTCTTCAAGTTTTCCAAGGGTCATGAAGTAAACCCGGCTGTGGCGATTGCGCAGGATAGAGGTAAAGAACAGCTTTATAAAGAGAGAAAGAGACACCATCAGTAAATATTTAATACATTGCAAACTGATATTTGATAGGTACAACTATAACTTCAATTTATCTGCACCAACCAATAAAATATTACCCATACTGATTTTCAGAAAGGGATTTCCTCAGATTAAAGAATACGAATTTAAATTGGTATGGAGTCTAAATTACAATTAAAAATAACCTTTTACCATATTCTATAATTGTACTTCATATAGTTTAAATAAAATTAGAGTTTTGTAGGTGGCATTTATCTGCTAAACTTCTTGACTGGTTTGGTTAACAATTCTCCTTTGCTATTTGTTTAAAATCGATTTTTATTCAAGTTGGCTTTCCTTTTTCTTTTAATATATGGAAAATATTACCTTATTTAGATGTTCACATTGTTGCTGGTGTTTAAGTGGCCACTGAAATTTTCTACTTGGCGCAAGCTTTTATTTCAGTGGAACAGACTGACATCAATAGACTGATATTATGAGCTAAACCAATCGGGTTAGAGAGGAATATGTTGTGTAAATATGGTCTGTGCCATAAAGAAAATTAGGACAGTACAATAATATAAATAGCAAACAGAGGTATCCTTGTTAGGACTAAGGTTTTCAACGTCCACAATGGATATACTTAGGAGGGTGTGTGATGTAATGATGATGATGATAATAACACTAGCTACCCGTGATTTAACACTTTTATGTGCCAGGCAATCTGTGAGATGCTTACTATATACATATTATTGATAATTTTCAGAATTGTTCCCAAAGTAGTTATTAATATTCCCATTCCTGAGATGAAAAAGCTAAGGTTCAGAAGGACTAGTCAAACTTCTAGGTTTATACACGTAGTTAGGCGGCAAAGCTGGGACTGCATCCTAGATCTATCCGATCTCAATCACTGGTTCTTGCCATTATATCCCTTTATATTACAAAAAAGTACCTTTTCTTGATGCCCAGTGCTTTACCCTGTTTGTCCTAATATTAATTCAAATCCTTTGCAATTTCTTCCAAATGTGAATGTTTCCTGGTCTTATTAGAATTATTTCTTCACGCTATTATTTCTCATAACATGTCGGGACTGTAATGATGTCATGCAATTCATTTTTCCATCTAAACTATCTGAATTGGTTAAAATTGATCACATTACACAAATAATTGCCAAATCTTGATTTTATTTTTCTTTCCTGTGAAATGGACATAATAATGTCCACTTGTGAAGATTAACTATGATAGCTTCTAAAGTATTTAGCACAAACTTTACCATATAATTAGGTGTTCAGCAAACATAAGTAATTTTTCTTTCTGTTACTGGATTACGTTGAAAACTATAAAAGGCAGATTTACTCAAGCATTCTTTTTCAAAATATCATATTAATATGAACATGAAAAGAACTACGCATCAAAGACAATAATGGAATTTGTAAGAAATAAAATAAAGGCTAAGCTTTGCTTTGGACACAATTAGAAGTTTTACAGTTTTGAAAATGATTTCTTTTGAAATCAAATTTCATGATTTACCAAATCAATGCTTCTAATGCAAATTGCAAAATTATTTTTATTAATTTATTATATTATTAAGAGTATGCCAATTTGGGAAATATAGTTATAGCCAGAAAGAAAAGGATATAAATTTCCTTAGTTAATTTTCATCACTTGCTTTATTTTTGCTTTAACTGGGGGATGTAAACCGTACCTTGTCACCTCGGGTACACAGAAATCTCAGCTTCTTAATTGACCTGCGCTTCAGTTCACTTTCCAGAACCCTTGACTGCAAAGAGCGGACTTCAATGGCTTTTTGGCCCCATCCTGTGGCTCGCTGTGAACACTCATAAGCTACAATAAAAATTTAAAAATCAGAAAAACATAATATATTTCTGTCAGTGATAGAAAGTTATAAATGCAGTCAACATTTGATTATTAAGAGGGACATTATTACAGTTCAGGTAAATACATTCTTTTTTTCCTGCCTATAAGACTGTTGTTTGGCCATTATGCTGCTCAACAGTGGTGCTCAAACCAGCTATGTATTATCACCATTGTGACCAACTATTCAATATTGTGAATAACTAGATCTCAGTTAATTTTTGTATTCATATTCTCCAACACCACAGAACAAGCTAAGGGTTAATCTTACCCTGTTTGTAGAAAGTCAAATCTAGCTACAGTGATTCTTTATTTTATAATCTAGTTGAGGTACAACATCCTGTAAGGGTTTGTACTTGTGCTTAAGTGACATATATGGAAACCTGACTAACTTTTCAAAATTAAAACTGCTAAAAAATGACTCGCTCAAATAATGACTTTAGCAACTCTAATGTAATTCAATTAATTACCATGCTATACATAGAACTAAAGCTAATTTGATACTGCTAAGCGTTTCTCTTGCTCAGGAAATTTTTATTAAGATTTAAACTATTGGACCCTGTTTTATATTACTCAGTGACAATAAAGACTATGACAATTGCTTTAAAGCAGAAAACCTAATTATGTAAATAGCTATATAGTCAGCTGACACTGTAAGGTATTTTCTGACATGGGGAGCAGTATTTTTTCCAACAACTGCATACAGCAAAATTTTCTAAACATAATGCACAGTGTACTTGCTGAGCCCAAATACACAGTTCACATGGCATTACATAATTTCGACCTTAATTCTAAAACACATTAATCAGCCACTTAACCTAGCTACTGAGCTAGCTTGTGTATGGGATGGAATCCAGTGATTTAGTTCGGAATGCTTAATGATACTTGCTGTGATTGCTAAGTCTCTATATATTTGTTTGAAAATCCAAAGCAAAGATCTTATTCGTAAAAACATTCATTATATCTAAAGGAATGTGGATTGGGAAAATCTGGATCTAGGTTAGTTTTAAATAACAAAGCAGTTGTTTTTAGACAGAAAAAGAGAGTAATTGATTTCCTTAATATTAGTGTTATAATTCAATCTTTATATACTCTCAAAATACCCTTATTACACAGACCAAAATATCATGTTTTTATAGTGCTATAATTTATTTTATACATAGAGGGATGCTTTTCAATTTTAGTGACTTAAAATAGCTCTTTGTTTTAGGTCAGAAGTTGTCCTGCCTAAGGACAAGAACTGTACCAGATGACTTTTTAAGACCTCTGTGAGTCCTATCATTGTCTACATGTGGCATAAATATGGCATAAATATAGGGGTTCTGTTTCCCATTTGAACTGAATTTCCTTATTCCAATTTCTGATTAATATATTGATCACAACCACTGTAAAGGTTAGAACAAGATTCATTATTTCAGGGGTTTTTTTGTCCCAGATCTGTCAATTATATTGTAAGCATTTACATCTTGTCACAAAATGGTTTTAAACCCTCTGTGAGTTCTTACCTTTTGAAGAAATTGGAGGTTTTCAGGATAATCCTTAACACTATGTATGCAAAAGGAAAGGATTCTGCAGATGCAGTGCAAAGTGCCATCATCCCATAATGGAAAAAATGTCCATTAAAAAGAAGTTCTTTTAAACTGGTCTTTAAAGCCACATGTGGATCACATTTAGCCATTTTATAGAGATTTCAGAAGCTTCTGGCTTCTTTATTGATAAACTATTTTCTCTCTGTCTCTCTTGTCCTCCTTCCCTCCCTCCCTCCCTTCCTTCTCTCTCTCTCTCTCTCTCTCTCCCTCTCTCCCCCGCTCCCTCCCTCCCTCACCCTCTCCTTGTCCTTCTCCCTCTCCCTCTCCCTCTCCTTCTCCCTTCTCCTTTATTTGCTTCATTAACCTTATCTTACTTCCAGGAACATTTATCTTCAAGCAAATCATTCTATTCTCTCTCTAATATTTTTACTGTTCATATGCATTATTCTGTTCCCTATGTAGAATCATCTCTGTAGTCACCAAGACTCTGAGAAATACGAGTTTCAAGTTATTCAGATTGCCCAGATCAACAGTCCTGCGATGGTCAGGAAGAAAAAAAATGTCCTGGTCTAATGAAGATGAAAATTTTGTAAATGAAGTTTGACAAAATCTTAGTGACAACCTATATGTCACATATTTAGTTTGTATTTGATTCTTCACAGAAATATTACTTGCTGAACAGAACACTACTGACTGTATAAAATGGAAGTATTTTGCTCTTCTCTTATGACTATTTGGCAGTCTCCTAAGATAAAGGTAAACCCCCAAAATCAATGTGATGGAATGAAACAGTTTCAACATCTGTGTAAAAGCTGCAAGCAAAGGTATTTAAAATAAAATTACAGATTATTGTGGAAAAGAATTACTTTCCTATTTTAATTACATGATTATTAAAAATGAACAACTAAGACAGCCATAATCAGTCTCTTTGTGGTAGCCTTGTGAAGTAATTAAGCATAAGACAAACATACACATTACCTTACAAGGGAGTAAGTATGCCATACCCCAAATTAACACTATATGCCTTGAGAAAAAGTGATACTTCAGGAAATAGAAGCTTTTCTGGGATCATCTGAAAGGAGAAAAATTTTATACATACCTACTGAAGATGGTATGTCTTTCCACACTTGAAGGATCTTCTTGAAGAGTTGTTCATTTGCTTCCATGGAAAGGGCTTCAGCATTGAAAGTGAGCATCATGCCAATTCCCAAAGAATCAGGTAAAATGATGATATTCTGTGGTATAATGATTTCCAGGGGCTGGAATTATGTTTCATAAGGATTTACATGTCCAACACTTTATCACTACTACTTTCATTGATGCAGCTTGGTTGAGCAATAAAGACCAAAAAGGGGTTCAAAATGCAGGGAGGAGAGAAATTTCTATTTCAGTACTAAACAGCATGTTATCCAACACTTGAAAAGAGCCTTCCCTATGTCATAAATCTGTCACTGTTTAATATTCTCCTTTATATTTAGGAGAAAACTTTGTAAAAAGCAGAGATATACTTCCAACACAGAAATTCATTGAAATTTCACAAACTATTATGTATAATGATAGAAGAAACATTACTTGTTTGATTTCAGATTCATTTCAGCACACTAATTAATACTTTAATAAGGAATGTGTGAACCAAGTAACAAATACAAAATCACTGCTTATCAACAAATTCATTCAAATCAGAAATAGAAAATTAACTTTAAAATAGCTTGAGTTTAAATATTTACAAGGGGCAGCCTTATAATATCCTTCACTGCTTGAAATGTATCCTCCCTTCACAAAAATATAGAATTTCTTATCTAATTTATATAATCTTAAAATATCTTCAATTCAGAGATGTATTAGGTGACAGAAGATGAAATACTAAGAAATATCTAAAGAATTTCTAAATTTCATGATGCATAAAACAATGTGACAAAATTTGCCTAAACTACAGATATTGTCACATTAATCATATTTCCCTAAAAACCGAACAATTAATTCCTCTATCATTTTTTGAATTTAGCAAGTTAAAGGAAAAAATGTCAGAAACTATACTTGCCAAACCCAGCGTACTCAGGCCAAGTGCTTGAGGCCATGTCTCAGTCTCAGCAACAACAATTCTTAAAACTAAAATGGGGATCCAGAGGCGAAAAGCAATTTTAATGCGTTCCCTGGGCACTCTCATGAGCAGTTGAATCAGAAAAGAGATGAAGGAAGAGAGAAAAAGAAATTCAAGAAAAAAGATTGTCTCAAAAATTTTGTTTAGAATAGATCTGGGCTGTTGTAAATCCAGAAAGCCTCAAAGGTAATCCTCTTGCTTCTCAGATAATTCCTGAAGTAACCAGATATTCTATAGCTTTACAGCTTTTGTAATCTAGCACTTTTGGAAAAGTATTATTTTTAGTACATTCTGTTTCAGAAGACACTCTCTCCTCTTTTATATTAGAGTCCTTTCTCTTTTAATGGGTCAAGACACTAGGGCATTTAGCTAAAAATTCTATTTTTTAATACACTTAAGGTATCCTAATTAGGCCAGAAAATGATTTTTGAAAAACCTCATCTTCTCTCATTCTTGTTTCCATAATAATTAACTGATCATTTCAAAAGAAAATAATTCTTCTTGCTTAGTAGTCAAGTGGAACACAGAATTCAATATTCCTAAATGACTTTCCAAATAAGTATAAACTTGGACCAATACTGTGGTGTTCAATAATGCACTACCTTAAAAATAAAGGCTATCTGACATGACATAAAAAGTAAGATGTAGGAAGTGATGGAAGACACTCCAAGTGAAAAGTACTATAATATACTAAAATTAATCTAAACTCATTTAAATGGCTTTGGCTGGGCTCGGTTCAGTATTTTCTGCCTTATAAACAGTGATTTCTATATAGTCATAGGTGACAACAGAATAATCAGCTAATTAGATTGTTAAATATGACCAAAACTTTAAAAAAATTCTCCACTAATGATCTGACAATTGCTCCATGTAATCTGTCAGAGATATATAGATAATTCTGAAAGCTGTGCAAAATATCACATTACTACAGTGGCTTAGCAGTACATAAAATTTTCTCCTAGAATTTTGTATAATGCTAAACTGCTAAAACTTTAGTGATTGACAAAATGGGGAATTCAAAAAGGGTGAAGCAGAGATTTGTTGGTTCAGCCCTTCCTTTTTAATATAATTTTCAGTAGGACAAATATCATTTCTACCATCAAATTTGAGATATAGGAGAATTATATTATGTATGGTACGTGTGTGTGAGGGGTATTATGTTATGTTCAAGCTCTTTAGACAAATGATGTGTATAGTATTTTTACAACTATCCATATTTTAGATGCTGTGCCATATTTTCATATTTATAATTATTTGAGTTAAGAGTTGATGTGCATTAGCTTTTAAAATGCTGAATCTTTGATCAGAAATTCTAAGTATAACATACTGTAAGAGAATACTTTATGATAATTTGCTATATATCACAGTTAAAGTACTACAATCTGGATAAAGAAAGGACATACACATAATGATGTTGCAATACTGGTGTAACTTTAAAAAATCTATTAATGCATTATGAGGTGCAGAAGACTAAAGCAAGGGTTGCAAACTCATATGGCTACAAGGGCCAGTTATTATAAATACATAATGGTGGATGGATAGAGAATGTATAGCGTATGTTCAATCTAAAAGTGGACAGGCACAAATTGGTTCCAGTTGATTATGGCCAGATAGTAATGTTGGCCTGATATTGTCAGATCATTGGTTTTTCAATAGAAATCTAGATTTTAAATGTAAACTTAAAAACAAACAAAAATCACTGTTGCAGACAAAATCTATCTGTGGAACAGACTTAGCTGTCTGGACTAAGAAACCATCAGTGATTTTTGTTTATCCATTACTACTTTCTGGCACTTTATACTTACCTTTTACATCTCAGTTCTAATATAGATATTGATACTCATATTTTTAAACCTTTAAGAGTTTTGACAGTTGGAAATACTCAAATTGTGTTATACAGTAATTTCTAGGGATCTTACATTATTTGGCAGGGTCACATCAGACATAACCTCAGATTCTGCATCAATGATGTGATATCCATCTGCTGAGCTGAAGAAAATCTTTAGTCTTTTTTCAGAACCAATAGCCAGGTCAACTGTCACTGGCTTATGACCAAGTGTTGGAAACACCTGTAGATATAAAACCAAATATGGCCAAAAGGCCAAAAATGACACTCTGTCTAAGGCGAAAATTCCCCTGCCCTTTTGTTTAACAGGTTTATAAAACCCAGAATGATTTTTAAAGTTACATAATATATTTAGAGACCTAGGTATTATAACTTTTCTTAGGTCTGTTATTACAATAAGAACGATTATATTCAGGTTCTAAATATTGAGTTTTCCTTCGAAGGCCAAATCTCCAAAAATCATAAGAGCCTTGTATGGCCCTGTACTCTGTTTGCTGTCTTTAAATTCCTTGCCTTGAGCTTCAGCAAATGAAGGAGCTCATCTGGTCTCTTAAACCGGTTTGCTGGATCAGCTGCCTGTATTTTTGCCAGTATTCGTATATAGGCTTCATAGGACATGTAGTCTCCTTCGGAGTCTGCTGATTGATCAATGCACACTTGGTAGGGAATGAGAAAGGCCAGACATGTTAACCTACCATAGACTGGATGTACTCTAGGCTCTTATGGTTCCTAGTCCAAGGAAACAAAAAGGCAAACAGGATTCATTGCCAAGTTCAGGTCACAGTAGAGGACTGGGCATCACAGGTTTCACCACACTATAGTCATGAGGTGGGATTCAAGAACTGGAGTGAGGATTTGGACCAGAAATTGTGTATCAGGCTACACAGACTGTTGGTACTTACCTTCTTTGCTTTCCAGCTCCATACCAGGAAGCTCTGACCAATAAGCAGACGCCCAAGAACAAACCCATATCCAAATACTGACAGCTGACCCAAGGCCCAATTTAGGGAGATCAGATCAGGGATGTGGTTTGTGTCAGGACAGACCCAGACTATCTATATAGTAGTCTGTGCTATTTATAAAAGAACATATTTATTGTACAAATAGACATTGAGGAGAAGTCATAGATGTTAACCCATCTTTATTGTATACATGTGATGTTTTGGCCTACAAAATATACCATGTAATCAGATCCTGACCTAAGATACAATAGTATTTCATGAATACGTTGTTGGGGTCTATCATGATGTATCCCTATCAGTGCTTTGTAAAAACTTGTCCAGGGACCAACCAGTTCAAAATCTCCTGGGTTGTTTGCTAAAAATATAGATTCCCAGGCTCCACTTCAGACCTACTAATTTGGCCTGGAGTTGGGTCTGAGATCTAAACTTTTAACAAATGCTCCAGATGATTCTTATGTATATCCCAGATTAGGAGCTACTGGACTCTATGCAATATTGCCAGCTCATTAATCAGTCCTTATTACTATAGAATAAATACAAAATAATCTTATTTATGTTGAATTCTGGAGCATTATAAAAAGATAATGAAGATAAAATAGTCCCCAGTTTATGAGATGTGATTAAAAATCATCAGCAACTTAATTGTCTGGGACACTAAATGGTTACCTTAAGAGGCTGATCCATAGAAGTTCAATTAAACCATAATAAGGGTGGAAACAGTACTCATAATCCAAATAAGCCTAACCACCATTCCTTGTAATAGTTCTAGAGAAAAATGTGTTTAGAGATCTAGCTTGGAAGGAATATAGAGCCATCCTTTCCTTCCCACCCCCATCTACTGTAGCCCTGGTAATTAGAGCAAAGCCTTTCTCTTCCTTCATTCCTCTTCCAGGTTCATTCCTCTATCATTCCTCTACAATGGTAGAGGTTTCCCCCTTTACCATTGTCACACCTTTCCTTACCTTCCCTCTGCTCTCCACCCCCCACTAAGAGAGAACAGGGACTTTCTCAGCTTCAAGTCATTGGGGTGGCACCCAAAGCTTGTGTTTGTGGCTTTAGAAGAGAAGGTCTTCATGTTGACTACAGGAATTGGGAGTGAGGAGCTGGTGGGGAGGTCCTTTAAGGGGAGGGGTCAGGGATTTCCCTCACACTCTCCCTTGGTGTGGTGCCTGTGAATTATCTAAAAAAGGGTTAAATGATAATTATTGACATGGTATATTTAAATTACATTAATTGTAGAAGAATGGTATATATTTCTGCTACTCTATTCCAAATACTGTTCTGTTTACAATTTCTCAAAAGAAAAACTAAAGGAAAAGGAGACCACTCACTTTAATGGCAGTGCTTTCATCAAAGGACTTTGGTGCCCATGCATACAGGTGAATTGATGATTTCAAAGCAATTGCAATATATGTTGTTTCTTCATGTTGCACTACAGTGATAAAATACAAAGAAGTAACGATGCCAGAGTTAACAAGAACACTCAAGTATTTGTGTTTGTTGTTGAAAATGTCATAATAACAATGTAAGACCATAGACCATTTATTTTAGAAAAGTTATTTGGTTACAATTTGATGCCCAAAAGAAGGTGACAAAAATACTGTATAGTTTTATGGAGTGTATGTATTAGCCTTTAAGAACACTCTAAATTGTACACTGAAAACTACAGAACATTGCTGAAAGAAATTAAAGAAGACCTAAATAAATGGAAATACTTCCTCTGTTCATGGACGGGTAGACTTAACATTGTTAAATGAGAGATGTGATTAAAAATCATCAGCAGTCAGCAGTACTGACCTTAAGAGGTCAGTACTATGAAAAGTGATCTACAGATTCATTGCAATCTCTATTAAAATCCCAATGCCCCCCTATGCATAGATGGAAATGCTGATTAAAATTCACTTGGAATTGGAAGAGGCTCCAAATAGCCAAAACAATCTTGAAAATGAAAAACAAAGTTGGAGGACTCACGGTTCCCAATTTCTAAACTTACTACAAGCTACAGTAATCAAAACAGTGTAGTACTGACCTAAGGACAGGCATAGAGATCAATGGAGTAGAGAATAATCTCTTCATCAAATGGTACTGCGACAACTGAATATCCAAGTACAAAAAAATGAATTGGACCTCCTACCTCAATCCATATACAAAAAATACCTGAAATGGGTCAAAGACCTAAATGTAAGAGTTAAAACTATGAAACTCTTAGAAGTAAATATAGGAATAAACCTTCATGGCAATAGATTCTTATATTTGACACCAAAAGCATAAGCAACAAAAGAAAGAAACAGATAAATTGGGTTTCATTAAAATTAATACTTCTATGTATCAAAGGACACTATCAAGAAAGTGAAAAGACAAAGTATGGAATGGGAATAAATATCTGAAAATCATATATCTGATAAAGGTCTAATGTCCAGAATATATAAAGAATACTTACAACTCAACAACAAAAAAATAAATAAGCCAAGGAAGATATACAAATGATCAACAAACACTTGAAAAGATGCTCAACAACATTATTCATCAGGGAAGTGCAAATCAAAACTATAATGTGATGCCACGTTACACCCACGTGGATGGCTAGGATCAAAAGACTGACATTTACAGGTGTTGGTAAGAATGAAGAGAAAAATGGAGCTTTCATACTTATGGCAATGTAAAACAGTTCTGTCAGTCACTTTTAAAAATATTCTGGCAGAATAAATATCTGGCAGAATAAATATCTGGCAGAATAAATATCTCTTAGATAGACAGAATAAAAATATTCTATCTAAGAGAAAAGAAAATATTCACTCCAATGTACAAAGACATGTATGAAAGTGTTCATAGCAGAATTATTCCTAACAGCCAAAAAGTGGAAAAAGTGTAAACGTATAAAACAATGGATGTATAAAAAACTGGATAAACAAAAGGTGATATATCTATACAGTGCAATACTATTCAGCAATAAAAAGGAATACTGATACATGTTGAATAGGTTACAGCATGGATGAACCTTGAAAACATTATGCTAAGTGACAGAAGCTTGTCACAAAAGACCACATAATGTATAATTCCATTTAAATAAATTGTGGAAAAAAGACAAATCCACAGCAAAGAAAGTAGATCAGTAGCTACTTAGGACTATGAGGGGAATAAGGTAAGAGGAATAAAATATGGAGTGACTGCTAATGGCCATGAGGTTTCTTTTTGGAATGATGAACATTAGATCATGGTGATGGTTACACAACTCTATAAACATACCCTAAACCCTTTAATTGTACACTTTAATGGGGTGTATTTTATGATATGTAAATTATTTCAATAGAGCATTTTTTTATTAAAAGAGAGAAAAAATATATAAAAAGTATATGCTTGCTCTTGGCTAGACCTTCTGGCTCTCATGAAATATTTTGTCCTACTTCTAGATTTATATTTGTGCTAAAACCCCGCTTCTTTGGCAGAGACACTGCTTCTGTATTCGCTAGCCAGACTTCATCTGAGACTAATATATACGAATTCTCTCTCTCCTCTCCCCTCCCCTCCTCTCTCCTTCTCTCTTTCTCATTCTGTGTCTCTGTCTCTCTGAATCTAGCTTTGCTTTCTTTTTTTTTTTAAACTGTTCAGAAGTAGGTCAAAGAAGCATGATTAATAAACCTCCAAGAAGCAAAGGAATTCTTTGTTAAGCAAATAGTTCCAATAATTTTAATATACGACGGTAACTGATGTCGGTCCATTATTTTGTTGACTTTGGAAGGCCATGAAAATACCACACAAGTATGGTTATGTTGTTGTCCTCCTATGTAAAGGTGCTACTGTTCCACCTGTCAGTAGGACAAATGTTATTGGTTGTTATGAGAGCTGGGATGGGTTGGAATGCGGTCAGCTAGGAAAACTGGACTAAACTAGTCCATCTGTTTACCAAAAGCATAGATTTGCAAGATGACTATCTTTGTAAACTCTCTCTTATTCAACTAAAAACTCGATAAGTTAGTAAGAGGCAGTTCTGCTATATAAACTTTTGGGTTAACATCTGGGAATATCTTTCACCTCTGGCTACCATATTTATGTAATATGATTTGGAGGAAATTAGTGATACATAAAACTAGAAGAAAGTAATATATTTATTTGATGCCTAAGTTGTCTGGGTGCTCATTCCTACCTTTATTGGTGTTTGTGTACATATGTACAGACATATGGAAACTTATCCTTGGAAAGGCTCTTTGTATGCAGAACAAAAACAGTCAGTCAGTGTAGAAATATACTGCTGCAACTCATATTATGTGATTCCAGCTATCTCTTACCTGTGCCACTAGTTCTGCCTCACAGGCAATTAGAAAAGAGGAAAGAAGAAAACAAAGGCTGAGAGTAGGGGTATTTGCTTCAGAAACAGAAAGAATTAGATAACATTACTTCCAAGTTGTTGACAGATTAGAGCAGGACTCTAAGACCTTGGATTTGTTACTCCATTTCACAGTGGATGGTTGTGAAGAGACAGGGGAAATGAAAACACAGTAATCAGACAGGAAATATTTAGCAATTATACTCATGAATATCGACAGTGGGAATGAGAGCCAGCAGACAATTGATGAATTTTCGTTTTGACTCATGGTAAAGTTTCCTGGTCAGTATTAGGAGGGGTTTTCTGATTTTGAAAAAAAGGAATTATTATGTGATCCTATTTTATTGCTGTTCCAAGAAAAGATAATGTCATATAAATCTCCTTGTAGGTTATTGAAGATACATCAACACCATTTATATAATTGAAGTTAGATAGAAGCAGGAAGACATATCAGTTCATATGAACTAATTAGAGTGACTGGGAAGGGAAGAAAGGTGAGAAAGTGAACCAAACTTAACTCCAATATCTATTTCAGTCAATCTATATTTTCTCAATAAGAGCCAAGATTGTGACATAAAAGACCTGAAAGGTATCTCAGTGAAATTCACTCATTTTTGTATTTGAAGTTGCACATTCTTTTCTTTCTCTACTTTGCCTTTCACAATAATGTTCTTCACCAAATGAAGGGAAGCAAAATTTATATAGCTATAGCAAACATGAAATGACACTTACGGACGCTGAAGTGTTCACAGCCTGTCAACTTATCAATAGCTTTGCAGGCTTCCTCTGTCTTGAGCATTTCCTCTTGTCTTCTTTTACTTTCTGGATCATCATTCAAAATCTTGTTTCTCAGCCAGGTCAAATGATACACCCGAAGTCTGTTCTTATGGCCTGATAAGAAAAGATACAGTTTCAATTCAGTCTTTTTTTTATATATATTAGAAGAACAAAAAAGGTAAAAGTATTTTTGTCTTTTTAAACAAATGTTTTCATTAAAATAAAAATACACTTTAAAAAATCTATGCTGCATCAGAGTCTTCCCTTTAGAGTTTGGAAATGTGATAGCAAAGTCTCTCAGTCTCTCACTTCCAAGAGATAGCTGAAGTATCTACCAGCTACCTATGTAGAAGCAAATGTAAAATACTTCTTTGGGACAGGTTAAGACTGCCACTGTGCAGGCAACAGAATCACCATCCATTCATTTGTACCTTAGGTTCTTATCTAAGTCATGACCTTTCTGGGATTCAGAGACCCAGAAGCTATCTCTGGTAGTGTGTATATATGAGAAGGGTGTCTTATGTATTGCTTGTTAGGCATTCTGGGCCAGTGAGATGGGTCTTTGTACTCTTTCATTCCAGTATACTTACGAAGTAAGTCCCATCAAATTCCTACAATTCCTTCAGAAAAACAAGCCATTAAAATTACACATTTCTTTTCATATATAGTGACTTTACATTCATTTTTAGGGTTTATGACTGTAAGATTTCTGGGCCCAACAATAAGATTCTCATTTTTGTAATTAATCTTAAATATATTTTTATACAACATTTTTGAGCAGTGTTAGAATTCAAGCATCTATATCTATTGCCATTCTATTCTCAAATGGTAAAATAAAATTGAAATCCAAACTATTAGATATCTTTCTATACTGACGTTCTCAGTACTATTTGATGCAAAAATAATCCACATTTAAGAGAAACTTAAGAATTAAAAAGAGAACATTTAGGTTAGAGAAAGCTGGATAAAAAGTAAAGAAATCTGTTATCCAGATGTACAGTCTGTAAGCCACCCAGATGTTTTCAAAAACTAAATGTTACTTCTGTGTGCCTCAAGCAATTATAAATGAATGACCAAAAAATCATGACACTTTAGTATATCTGTAGAGGATTTCTCTAACCAAAACTTAAAGCAAAGTTAATCATATTTAGGACTATACATAATCATTAATTAATGTGCAATATCATTATTAGGTACAGACAGGAAGTATATAAACACATAAAATTACTGTGATTAGCATAATTTTATTCTACAGTCAAACCATTTAAAAAAATTTTCCTAATCTTTCAACAGTCATTTTTTTTGCCTAAAGTCAGCATTAATGTTAGTGCTTTCCTGATACCAAGTACTGTTTAGTAATCACAATAATTATTAACATCCATATACTTGTTCTCTCATATTTCAAGGTTCAGGATCTGACTGACCAAAACTAAGAAGTTCAACTACTATGTGGGAAGAATGGAGAGATCTTAGGGGATCCATTCTTGTTACTAGTCCTATCTGTAGGCCCTTATTATACAGCTGTGGCAGAGACAACAGAGTCTCATTTTTATCCAATTATTGTCCTTTTTGTTCTTTGTTGCTTCTAACACAAGAAAGGTATATAGTGGAGGTTAGTGTGGTCGTGTGTGCATGGGTGGGTGAAGCTGTGAGTTGTGAAGATGTAGGTGGCTACTCAGAAAAGATGTGAAAGGATGCAAATGGCATGGTTTTTCTTGTCACTGACCTAGGACAGGTACATTACAATCAAATATCCAGACACCAAAGGAGAGTCAGAAGTTTAAATTGTAAATAGGTAAGAAAATACAAGTAGGAAAGCCTGGTGTCCCAATTAAAATTTATATTTATAGTGCTTTCCTATGAATACTTTCACTCCAGAGAGTCTTTAGCCCAGTTTGAAACCTAATTTATCTGCATAATTACTCAGCTAATTTTAGTTCTTAAACAAACCGGAGATGGTAATCAGCAAATTGAGTGGCTCTACAACTTGAATTTGACGGAATGGTCTTCGCTTTATAAGTTTAGTAATGTCTGCCTTTCCACTTCTGTCCATCAGATACAGATTTGATCGAGTTCCCAACAGCAAATTCACTCCTGTTTGTATATGAAAAGAAAAGTGCTATATTAGCTCAGATTACATTTTTATAATTGAATTTATACTAGTATTTTTGCTACTCCAGTGTGCTGATCTATGTAAAGGTGACGTTTATCATCTTAGGCTAATGTTAATTTCATTCTGTGTAAAAATGAACTCTCTGCCAACAGAACAAATTTATTTTCATTAAAATATTGAAGATAATACCCTCTGGCAATATTCTACTGGCTGGTGTCTTGTATGCCATCACACAAATAGAACTTTATGTATATCTCAACACCTTTCAGTAGTGTCCCAAACTTTATAAAAATCAATCAAGCTTTTTGAAAGTTACCATTAAATATAAAATATGCCTAGTATATATCAGGCCTTCAATTCAGTTGATTTCTCATTGCTAATTGTAACATGGTTTTAATGCTTTTAGAATAATTGCATGTAAATTGTTTTTAAATTGAGTGATTCTGTGTTCACACATATATTAAAAAAACTTAAGTTGCTAAATGCCTATAAAATTAGTTTCTACTTTCATGCATTTACACTCCTACACTCTGTTATTTGTGTGCTGGCTTTATTCATTCTAATAGAAGCACTGTTTATAGACTGAATGAGAAGACTAAAGTAGCAGATTGAAGTAAATTTAGAATATACTTCAAATGGGGGTCAGTCTCAAGATGGTGGAGTAGAAAGACCCTGAACACACCTCTTTCCATGGGCATACAAAAATTACAACTATTTACAGAGCAACTATGTATCAGAATGACCTGAAGACTAGCAGAAAAGATTTTCCACAACTAAAGACATAAAGAAGGAGCCACAACAAGATGGAAAGGAGTGGCAGAGATGTGGTTTAGTAAAGACCCACACCCCAGGGTCGATGACTCATAAACAAAAGGGATATCATAACCACAGAGGTTCTACTCAAGGAGCAAGGGGTCTGAAACCCACATTGGGTTCCCCAGCCTGGGGGTCTGGCACTGGGAAAATGAGTGCCTAGAACATCTGCCTTTGAAAATCAAGTGGGGCTTATGTTCAGGAGAGCTGGAGGGCTATAGGAAAAGGAAATTTCATTCTTACAGGGTATGCACAAAATCTCACATGCTCCAAGTGGCATGACGCAGGGCAGATGCAGTAGTGTGAAAGATGCCTGGGTCAGAACCACTTCTTGTTCTTAGAGAATTCCCCTGGAGAGGCATGAGGCAGCTGGGACACCCCTGAGGACTGAGACACTGGCAGCAGCCATTTTGGGGATCTCGGTCTACCACATTGACACATATTATATTCTTTTATTTTTCAAAATATAAAACCACAAATGATAAAAATGAGTTACTAGACATTAAGTTCATCTCTGGGTAGTTGCCTGACTGCAATGATAATGAAGTAAACTTTGCTTTCTTGTTATCTGATACATTATATTAGTAGAACTTTGAGGATGGCTTATTTTTTTCCAAATTGTTTAATCCACTTAACTATAATGTTTGCTACACTGTTCTATTTTTAATTTAAAATTATGTCTCCTGTTCAATCATACATTAATCAAAATCTCTGAAACTGAAGGTAGGAGGTTGGCATTTATTTTGGACTTTTCCCTTCCTTGCATTCATTTATTCTGTTTCATTTATGATTCAGACCCGCTTGAGGTAAAATATTGTCTCAGCATTACCAATGTGGTTATAATTCTTCTGAAACAAAGGGTTGAAAAAGTCTATCAAAGTTAAGATATTACACAAGGAGCTTTCTCTACAAATCCTCAAGATATTTTAAAAACAAGAACCTAAAGAAATTTCTTGTAATATCTCATTAGGTATTATATGTTGCATTCTGCCCAAATTAAAAATGCTAAGCTTGAATTTTCAAATAATCATAACCTAGTCCAATTTTATATTTTAGCCAAGTTAATTTGGGCTGTAAAGAAAAACAGAATAAAAAGGGTAGGGAGTAATTCAAACAGCAAAATGCATTGAGTAAAAATAAATCAGCAAATAAATAAATAAGCAAGTTAACTACTGTGTGTGTATATGTATGTGTATATATGTATATACTTGGAAATGTTTTTTCAATAGCAAACACATGTTTACATCTATGATTTTTCACAAGTTTGCTATATAGATAAAAATATATTCTTTAAAGTATAACAACTCAGTTTTAAGAAACCAAACTCACCCCACAAAGAACCACAGCAGATCTCAGAAGTGAATTCCTTTTCATACATGTGGATTAGTGGTTTTTTACATTCAGGAGAGACATAGAGTGGGTTAACATTGACTTCAGAGGGTTGCTTAGATGATTTCTCAGGTACTTCCACTAATCCAGCATATACTGTGAAGAGAAGATATTGAGAGAACTTATACCATATGCGCTTGAGTGTTTCCACAAATGAGACATAGCTTAGAAAAATTCCTTTTCCTTTACTGTACTTTATTTTTTTATTGGAGCTATAATTTCTATAAATCCTAAACCATCAGTTAACACAAATCAAGATGGTCAGAATACATTTCTGAATATGAATATACTTCAAGTTACTGTGATTGGATTGCAAGTAAAATCCAGATGAGGGACCCAATTTCTCAATTGTAGTTCAAATTTAGGTGCCATAAAGACTAAGTGAAGAGTAGATTTAAAAATATATATACATCCATCTGAATTTATGTCAAATGAGTATCAGAATGATTTGATTCTTTTCTGATAATGAAGCAGTGGTCAAACACTGTATTTAATATGTAAACAGACTGCAGCATTCGGAGATTATATTAAATACACTTACAGATGGTACTGGCAAAATCAGCATTTGCAGCCCCTTCAGAACCATTGGAAGGAGATGAGTGGCTGGCAGAAAAATCTGATTCTGTTGATACTTCTGATATGTCCATAGTGTCATTCTCATCACCAGGTGCTGCAGGTGCAGCGCCTGAGGCAACAGCATTTGAGGCTTCACTTCTACCACCTGACTCCTAAAAGATGATTAAAAATTTATTTTGACTTTATTAGGAAATTAATAGTGAGAGAAATATGATATGCCTAGCGGTTATTTGAAAAAGAGAATACAAAGTTTGTAACATCTTATAATTCTTTATCCTTATAAAATCCACATTTACCAGTAGAACTCAACAATGTTATCAGAAAAGAAGTAGGGCTTCCCTGGTGGCGCAGTGGTTGAGCGTCCGCCTGCCGATGCAGGGGACATGGGCTCATGCCCCGGTCTGGGAAGATCCCACATGCCGCGGGAGCGGCTGGGCCCATGAGCCATGGCCACTGAGCCTATGCGTCCGGAGCCTGTGCTCCGCAACGGGAGAGGCCACAATAGTGAGAGGGCCCCGGAACAAAAAAAAAAAAAAAAAAAAAAAAAAAAGAACTAACTAACCTATATTGAGACAACTGATGCCAAAGTAGAAATTCAAGGAGCATGAACTCCTTAGCTGTATAATTTACGGACCTAAAATTTGTGGAGATTTTACTATGCATTAGATACCCTGCTAGGCATCTTATTTACATATTGTTGTGAATCCTTGCAACAACCCAAAAAGTAAGTAAGATTATCTCCATTTTACTTACAAGGAAACTAAAGCTTAGTGAAGTTATATAATGTATTCAAGGTCATAGAGATAATTAAGACGATCAGAGTTTGAAGCCAAAGTCTGTTTGATTCCAAAGCTTACATTCAGCTATGCTATGGTAGATTCAATTCCATTTTGTCAAATGACAAAGCTAATGATGGAAAATCAACTAACACAAATTCAAGAGTGTGAACATGCTTCAGTGAAAATTTAGCCATATTCCATTAACTTACAGAGAAGAAATTCAAGGATAAAAGTCACAAAATGTGACAGAATTTATGTGGGATGCCATATCCTGTGGAAAAACATACCAACAGTTTTTGGTAAGCCTGTTTGCTGATAAGCATTTCTTTGTTTCTAAACAGTGATTGAGACAGCTGTGCTGCCCTGTCAAAGACTTGTTTTTATGACCTTTCCTGCCACAAAAGTGTTGCCGCATAACACTGGGAGATCAGCTCGGTGCTTTGTGCCCACCTAGAGGGTGGGAGGGAGGGAGATGCAAGAGGGAAGAGATATGGGAACATATGTATATATATAACTGATTCACTTTGTTATAAAGCAGAAACTAACACACCATTGTAAAGCAATTATACTCCAATAAAGATGTTAAATTAAAAAAAATAAAAGATTATCTCATCCTAAAAAATAATTAAAATAAAAAGAAGATCCATTCACTCTGTAAATGTCAAAAACATTTCTTAAGATAACTGGAGATACCCAGGGGTGCTATGAAAACTGTGCTGGGACATCCTGTATTAATGTCTTTAATTAAGATAAGTAGGTAGGCAGTTAGGTAGGTAGGTAGGATGGATGGGTGGATGGAAAGATAGCTAGATAGACAAATAGATAGATAGGTAGATAGATAGATAGACAGATAGAGAGGCAGACATAGACACTTTCCCACTGATGTTGCTTTCCCATTGGAAACCATCTAGGGAGTTTCCTCCTTCCTTGTTTTCTTTGTTTCCTTCCTTCATTGATTTCTTCCGTAATTACTGTATGCCTGCCATAGACGAAGCCCTAGGTTGGACCCTGGGATTGTGTGAGTAGGTAAAGAAAAGTAATCAAGGATGGATTAAAAATAGTTCCTGCCTGGGCTTCCCTGGTGGCGCAGTGGTTGAGAATCTGCCTGCCAATGCAGACGACACAGGTTCGAGCCCTGGTCTGGGAAGATCCCACATGCCATGGAGCGGCTGGGCCCGTGAGCCACAATTGCTGAGCCTGCGCGTCTGGAGCCTGTGCTCCGCAACAACAGAGGCCGCGATAGTGAGAGGCCTGCGCACCGCGATGAAGAGTGACCCCCACTTGCCACGACTAGAGAAAGCCCATGCACAGAAATGAAGACCCAACACAGCCATAAATAAATAAATAAATAAATACATTGTGTATTATTAAAAAAAAAAAATAGTTCCTGCCTTTTAAGAGTTTACAATCTATTGTGACAGAAGAGCAAGTAAACAAATAAATAAATTACAAAGTCGTAAGTACTAAAATTAAACGATGGCCAAAAATGCTTGCAAGTGCAGATGAAGAGGTGTGTAGTTCTGCCTTGGGAAGTCAAAGATGATATATGAGTTGGATCATGAAGGATGACTAGTTCACAAGCAGAGAAGAGGTAAGGGGAAGCCTTATAGACAAAGGGAAGTGCTTGAACAAGGTCACTAATTCATGAAAGAGCATGGCATCTTCTAAGCTAGTTATGATAGGACAATAGGCTGGGAAAGTAAATTGGCATGATTTTTCCTTTGTCTGTAATCTCATCTCTGTTTTCAGATATCCAATACTCCCCATTTGTCAAGAATTAGTTCAAAACCCATGTGTTCCAGGAAATCTCTGTGATAATTCCTATTTATCTGGCATATGTGAAGCTACTTGAGTATTTTAAAACATATCTATAAAGTCTGTAAATATTTTGTGAATGACAAAATAATTGTCTAAACACAGTACACTACTTCTGTTTTAAATTGTATGTGTTAACACTTCCTCAAAAAGTTAAAATAGAAGATAACAATTCCACTCCTAGGTATATAGCTCAAAGAATTAAAAAGAGGGACTCCAACAACTGATACTTGTACACCAATGTTCACAGCAGCCAAAGGTGAAAACGACCCAAGTGTCTATCAACATATGAATGGATATACAAAATGTGATATATTCATACTACAGAATATTATTCAGCCTTAAAAAGGAAGGAAATTCTGATACATGCTACAAAATGGATGAACCTTGAAAATATGCTAAGTGAAATAGACAGACACAAAAGGACAAATATTGTATGATTCTGCCTATATAAGGTACCTACACAGAAAGTAGAATAGAGGTTATTAGGGACTGGGGGGAGGGATAGTGGGGAGTTAATTGTTTGTTTGAGATGATAAAAAACTTCCAGAAATGAATAGTAGTAATTGTTGTACTACATTGTGAATGTACTTAATTCCACTGAATTGTACACTTAAAACATGGTTAAAACATAAAATTTTATGTTATGTGTATTTCATCACAATAAAACCTCCCAGAAAAATGTATGTGTTAAGAGACACTATCCCAAGCATGTGATCTGAGCAATAAAGGTAAACAAATAAGATATTTTTGTCCCTGGAAGAAAATAGGAACCATCCAAATTAGAAGAAATAAAGATCTATCTACAGCTATAATTAAAAGTCTTTAAGGCTTTGGGATAGAAGTCTAAAATATATTTGTAATGGCTGGAAATATGACATATCACATGAAGAAACGCATTCACAAGGAGAAGAGTTCATTCTCCTTTTCAAATGGCACATTACCTCTGGTTTATGTTCAAATTCCTGGGATGCTGGTCTCTCCAATACTGGATCATCTATCTCTGAGCAATTTTCTTCTCCATTGAGTTCAAGGGCTTCACTCTCTTCATTGGTTCTACTGACTCCCTCATTTCCATTACTCTCTTTGCCTCTTCTTCCACTGCCTGTATTGGCTCTGTGTCCTTCATGGTCTCCAATGGCTGCACTGCCCCTAGTGGCTGTACTTCCTCCGTGGCTTCTACTAGCTCTCTGGCTTCCATTGCTGCTGAAAGTTCCTTCCCCTCCATCACTTCCATCTTTACCATCTTGCTTGTAGCTTCCACCTCTGCCACAGCTTGGCCTGATAACAAGATCCAATTAATGATAGAAAACCACCCAACAAAAACATATTTGAAAGTCAACAAATGAAACAAAATTAGTATGCCTTACACATATGTACTATCTCCAGGCATGTTTTTGTTCTATGTGAACACTACTGGTATGATATAGATATGAAAAATGTCCCTATGTCTTGTCAATCTTAAATATTAAATTAACACCATAGCCACTGTCAATTCCCTGGCTGCATTTGGATGGCAGATGTAAGAGAACTTGCATCCTTTATTAGGAACATGTGTTAGGTTAGTAGCAATAATATGTTTTATTTTCTTAAACCGTAGACTACTTCATGCATTAGCAACTTCACAGCCACATGAATGATCAAGCCCATATTTTTGGTTCAACCACAACATATTTAAATAATTATTATAATATATGTAAATTATGTTAATTTAAACATGTGCCTTTATTTTCTAACATGTGTATTGTCTGCTTTGCAACAGATTTCCATTGATTGTTCTACTATTATCACCAGGAAGTTCAGTAATATAGATCTCATTGTTAAGATAGTCACTTAATTATTTGCTAAGAACACCAAGCTTAGCAAAATGTCTCAATGATCTTTTGCATAAGGGACAACATAAATATGTACCTATGATAATTCTAAAAGCAAATGAATTTGAGAACGGAATTCCTGGTAGTTTTTTAGTTGACAAAAAAGAAAAAATGTTGAATGAATTGTAGTCTGTTCTGTCATGTATATCCCCAGTAACATTTGAAAATTAACAAAATAAAATATGGATTTCAATATTATAAAGCAAACAATTCTCCCACTGTTAATTATTTTTCTAAAAATATACTATATTAATGAATTGCCTTTGAGAGCAGTTTAAATACAAACCATAAGCACATGTAAATAAGAACACACTGGCTGCTTATAGAGCAGGAACAAGTAACTATATATATATAGCATATACTGGTGGTATGCCAAAAACACTACACTAAATATTACCACTTTGAGTAGCTACTCTATAAGAAGATAAAATTGAACGAGAACTGAATTTAGTTATAGCAGTTTTCAGAATCCCAAGGATAATGCTATGTTTGTAAGTTGGAGCTTAAAACTATCAAGTGAGTATCATGTTTGCACTTCATTTTTCTCAGCAAATTTAGAGATTTTGTTCACAAACATCAGGGCTTCAACTTACAATTATTAATAGGCACACTACTTAATTTGTCAGCCCATTTCTCACACTCATTGTGTTTTACAGGGTAGAATGATTCAGTAGCATTAATTTTAACAGAAACACCGAGACAACTCCAGTTATAAAGAACTTAATAAATAGTTGAATGCTAATAAAATATAGTATTACAAGAAATGAAAAATTAAGTGTTTTGCATTAAAATAATTTAAAATCTATTGTTGAAAATCAACCATTTACCAACATGAAAGTGCAATTCATTCACCCTCTTGGTAATAAATTTTTTTTTTTTTTTTGTGGTATGGGGGCCTCTCACTGCTGTGGCCTCTCCCGTTGCGGAGCACAGGCTCCAGACGCGCAGGCCCAGAGGCCATGGCTCACGGGCCCAGCCGCTCCGCGGCACGTGGGATCCTCCCGGACCGGGGCACGAACCCGTGCCCCCTGCATCGGCAGGCGGACTCCCAACCACTGCGCCACCAGGGAAGCCCCTGGTAATAAATTTTGAAAGTAAACCAAAGATGCAAATAGTTTTGAAATGATAAAATATGGATAATGCAAGTAATCCAGAAAAACCAACCTTGGCCAACTAGGAGCATCATCATGATTATTGTCTTTGTCATCAACAACCTCATCATTGTCATCATCGTCTTGGTCTTCACCAGCATCATTAGCCTGATCAACCTGGTTATCCAACTCATCACAGCCATTGTCATGGTCATAAGTATCTTCATAAGCATCATTAGAATCATCATCATCACCAGCATCATAGAGTTCAACATAATCACCATCCTCTTCAGGTGGCTGAATGACAGGTGCAGGAGTTAACCAATCATTCCGGAAGATTTCAGAGAGTGCATTATAGCCTACCCATTCATTTGTCAAGTAAACGGGGGGTGATATTTTTCCTACTTTAAATCCATCTGGAACCTGTGTGTACAAGAAAGGTTAATGTAGTCTCTAGTAGCCTTTCATTTTCTTCTAGATTGGAAAGCTTCCAGGCTGATAATATTTTAAAATGTATTTTCAATTGAAATGAAGATGTTCACTCACTATATAGAGCCAACATTTTTGTGAGGATGAGCTGCCAAAACCCAAACCTCAGGCTATGATCATTAATGGCCTTTCTGGATCACACAGGGCAAAATTTACTCACTGTTTTATATTAGTCCTACTTATCTGCTGAGAACTAGACATTTGGTTTTGGTGCTGGAGAAGAGAACAGATGATTTAACATTCTAGAGAAGACAGTCACTTTTTCCTTTTGTTTTATCCTTTGATATTGGGATTAGCTCTTAAAATTGATATGTTAATTTCCCAGCTCTAGTTTTATACAACATAGGTTGTATTAAAGTAATGTAAACACTTCTAAGAAGTAAATTAATATAAATTCACCTTTAAGTATGGTATGTGTCCTATAAGCAACCTCTGAGCAATCTGAAAGGGGTGTATGTGTAGTAGGGTAGAGGTAATTACAAAAGTAAAACAGAATGATCTGAAAGCACACTGCAAAAATAATTAGAAGGCCTTTTTATTTATGAAATTAGAAGGCATTTTATTTTTCGCTAAATGTTTTATCTTTATGCATTGCCTCATCATTCATGAAATGACATTAGACAAAAACTGAGCATCTAAACCTTACTCCTTAATTTGAGATTAGCTTCTACAAATAGTTTTTTATCACTCCTCTCCAGAATATGTTATGACACAAGAATGTGAAAGTAAAATATTTTATGATCGATTAAATGTTTTTATATTTTACATTACAAAACATTTTACATTAAATGTTTTACATCGATTAAATTTAATTTCTAGATTTCATATTCTGCATACTGACATACCAATAGCAATATATATTTGAAAGATTAATTTAAAAACTGAACACTTTAGCCATTCCCTCGAATGAAGATGAAAATATGTAAGTTAAAAGAAATTGAAATTTAAAAAGAACAGATATAAATGCGTTAAGAGTTAAGATGGAAACCTACATGAATGTCAACCAGCAACCTCTGATCAATAGTAGAATAAGGTGGTGATGACTGGGACCTCCTCCTGGTCACAGGGCTCTCTTCCTCAGAAGAAGATTCTGTGGAATGCCAAAAAGCCATTAGTAACAGTTGTGATCACAGCCATTGACTTCATTTTTATAGTGTACCAGTTCAATCCCTTGGTATTTTTCTTGTAGCCACTTTCCATTCTGGAGATATCACTTGGTAAATTCTTATGGGGCTAAGATCCTATGTTCTGTTTTCACAGGCAGTGACAGGCTCAAGGTTTGTTCTGTTAGACCTGCATGGCTTTTTTGTTTTCAGTATTAAGTGTACACTTGCTAGGTATTTCTCTCTATCTGTGTAACAAGGTACACAGTAAGACTAGTATACAGATAGTCCCATGAAAAAAAGAGAATGTATCAAGAATAGGAAGGGCTGGGTGGTATTTCTAGCCTCCCATACTAACCAGTAGAAAAAGAGCCCAACAGTATACTAGAAGATGATAGATTAGACAAAACTTTCAAGAGGAGAGTTGACTCTTGAATCTTAATCCCCCAATTTCTACTCAATGATATATCTTCAAGTATTTCAATACAGTTGAGAAGTGAACAACTGAAAAGTGGCAAATCTTAGCCCTTTTTATAAAGCCAGGAACCCTTCTATAGAAGCTCTCTGCAATAGAACTTTCTGCAGTAATAGAAATGTTCTGTATCCGCATTGTCCAATACAGTAGCCACTATCCACACATGGCTATTGAGCATTTGAAATATGGCCAGTGTGTCTGAGAGGTTGAATTTAAAATTTAACTTCATTTTCATTTTAGTTTTAATTTTAATAGCCACATTTTGCTAGTTGTATCATAATGCACAGCTCATTTCTATAGTGTGAATACTTCCATTTAAAATGCAAATTTGTCTGGATTAGAAGGCTGGATTTTTTTTTTTTTGCGGTACACGGGCCTCTCACTGTTGTGGCCTCTCCCGTTGTGGAGCGCAGGCTCCGGACACGCAGGCTCAGCGGCCATGGTTCAGGGGCCCAGCTGCTCCTACGGCATGTGGGATCTTCCCGGATCGGGGCACGAACCCGTGTCCCCTGCATCGGCAGGTGGACTCTCAACCACTGCGCCACCAGGGAAGCCCAGAAGACTGGATTTTTGATATTAAGATTTGTGGTATAGTAAATAACATCTGTGGTTAAAACAGAGTGAGAATATTTAGGCTCAAAGATCAGTAGATCTGGGTGAGTATACTTAGAAAAAGCTTCACTAAAGGGACTCTCAAGTCCCTTTTTATTGTTTTTGTGTGCTTGGAATTTGAAGATAAATAGTACTATCCCTCTTTTATTTGCAGCCTTGATATATAGCCAAAGTATTGACACTAGAACTCCAAAAAGCATGTATTTGAAAACATTTCTATCTTTTGAGAATATTGTACTGAACACATCTTACAATTTATGTTCACATCTTCTGACACTGTTGTACTTTTGCAATGTATTATCTTTCCGTAGGAAACTATTTTCTCTCAGGTCTTTTGGTGTATCATTAGGCTAAGTAAGAAGTTTGGGTGAATGTCTGAGATTTTGAGGCAAATTTGTAGTAAGGTGTTCTGATTTCCTGCATCATGAAGTATTGAGTCTCATGGGAACTTCAAATCATCTATGTAGCACACACAGTAAAATAACAGAATTTTAGAGCTAAAAAGAACTTTAGCTATTATCTACACAGATACTCTCCCTTTCTCCCTCCCACCACTGTTCATAAATGTTTTGGGGCCTATTCCAGAGTTTCCTTATTTCAAAATATACAATATGAATAAACCTTAAAGTTTTAGTTGTTTCTTCAGTATTAGCAAAATAAACCCTAGTCAAACCAGAAAGATTCTGGGGAAAAAAGTCCTAAAGTTTCTCTTCACACAGGCTTATCTTATTTCTCACAAGATAATATTTCTGCACAAGGGGACACTACCAATTAAAAGAATTATGCCATTATCGGAGTCTCCTAAGAAGAAGAATGGGGTTTTAAAATTCAGGTCTTCGACTATATGATTTTCATACAGTGTACCTATATATCCATTTAATTATTGACATTTTAATAAAATCTATATGCTGTATTTTACAGACGACTTGGGGACTCAGTCAGGCATTTTTCCCTTACTTAACTTACTTGAATTACTTAAAAGTAGATAGTGCCAGATTTTATGACCCAAGGCATAACTTTTCACTTTGTTTATCTGATATGTCACAAATCTATAATTCATTTAAACTCTCTCAAAAGTACATCATAAAATAAAATACTTATTTGAAATTCATATCACAGTTTGTAAAGTTATTTTCTATGATTTTATTGATTAATTTTTCATTGTGAGTAACTACATTAATTTTTAACATTTAAGAGATACTGTATATATCTTACTTTGGGGAGGTGAAATAACAAACTGATAAATAAAACACATGCCCGCAACTACTCCATTTAATATTTCAATATTCTAAAGATTGCCTATAAATTTTAGCCTGTTGTAGAAGCCTCTCTCAAATTCCTTTCCCATATTTTTCACACATGGTATAGAAACTAAGGCTGACCCCCCCTCCTGCCTCCCTAGACACATTCTTAACTACTACCCAACTGAAAGAAGAAACTTCAGAAAAATTACTTCCCATTTCTCAAAGGTCATCACTGATCACCTAATTGCCAAATCCAATGGCCTCCTGGTCTTAATCTTACTTGGCCTCCCTGACACTATTGATTCATTCCTTCTTGAAATTCTTTAACTTTTTCAAAATAAACTATTAAACATTAACTCCGTTTTGACTGTTTAAACTTTGTGCTTTGAATCACCTGATGCTGCTGGGCAATTCGGAGGATTTTGCGAACTTCTTTGTCTGATGTCAATGGGCTTCTGAGCTTGTTCCAAAAGAGACCGCTGAGGAACACTAATGAAAAGACAGAACAGCATGTGTCACATCCTAACATTCATAAAGGGAATGTACAACTCCACATCAAGACCAACAGAAGTTTTAAGTATATGGGTATGTATCAAACTAAAAAGAAGTAGAGTTTAAGTAATATTTTCCAATTTCCCCAAATCTGCTCTTTTATCTAGAAGATAGAAACAATTTCCAAAATATAAAAAATTGTCTTTATACAAGTATGTTTCCTTCACATATATATTTATTTCTAAAAATTCCTATGAACTTTCTTTAAGTTAATATTCAGACATTATTGCTACCTGGGTAAAACAGCAAGAAACATAAATTTATAGTGTATGTGAGTATTTTAACATGATAAAAACTAAGTTATTTTCATGTTAAATATTCCACTATTATAATCCTGATTTCAAATGCTTGGAATTTGCGTTTTTTAATGTCCTGTTCCTAATTTAGATACATGGATAAATAGATAGGACACTTTAGTTTTCACTATTCAAATTCAGGGAATATTTAGAAAGTTTCTTTGGACCAGTGCTGCTAAATTTTATAGCTGCTTTGGAATTTCTATATAGGAAGGACTTTGGTTATTGATTTAGGCCTAGAACAGACAAGAGTCTTTTCTATGACCCCAAATTTCAGGAAAGACTTAAGTTTCAGTTAAATTGATTTCATAAATATAACCATATTTAAAGTAAATATATATGCAATTCATAAATTCAAAACCCTTTTTTGTAATAAGAACAACCAATTCCAGTTTAGTAGCAATATTGATTTTTATATACCCCATGCTTAACAGTTATATTGATTTTTATATCATAACCCATGATACCAAAACAGATACACAAAACTAAACTGATTTCTCCCCCTTTGTTGTCAGAAGGATCATGACAACTCATTCACTGAATGCATAGTAAGAGAAAGTTCCCAATCTTGCTTTAAAATTTTTCAAGATTTCTGCACACCAATTAAATCTAAGGACACAAATACATGGGGGTTTTAAAGAATAATTAGATAAGAATATACATGCTAAATACTATCAGCTCTATGCCATCTGACCATACTGTGCAGAATCTTGAATACAGTAAGTACTCAATAAGTATTTACTGAATGACTGAGTGAATGAATATAGGTTAAGTTCTCTCCACTATGAGTTGGAGTTGGAAGGGGTATGATTTTCAAGGAACATCTAAATTAAAATTTAGCATTCAAAAAAATGTCATGAAGAACCTAGGGGTAAGACAGGAATAAAGACACAGACCTACTAGAGAATGGACTTGAGGATATGTGGAGGGGGAAGGGTAAGCTGTGACAAAGTGAGAGAGTGGCATGGACATATATACACTACCAAACGTAAAATAGATAGCTAGTGGGAAGCAGCCGCATAGCACAGGGAGATCAGCTCGGTGCTTTGTGACCACCTAGAGGGGTGGGATAGGGAGGGTGGGAGGGAGGGAGATGCAAGAGGGAAGAGATATGGGAACATATGTATATGTATAACTGATTCACTTTGTTATAAAGCAGAAACTAACACACCATTGTAAACCAATTATACTCCAATAAAGATGTAAAAAAAACCCAAATATAACACATTGCATACATCTAAAATATGAAACATGATCTTTGAAAATTACTGAAGATTATAAATATTACAGAGTTAAAAATTACAGTGACTGATATAAATTATTGCTATAATATTGAGTTTTAGATTTGATTTTCCCTATAGGTTATTTTAGGTTTGCCCATTCTGTGGCATTAGCTTCTGAGGTTAGCAATTGTGTGTGTGTTTTACCATGTAGTACATCACAAATATCATGTAATTGAAGTATACATGACACACATGAAATTTCACACCTTTTTATTGTAAATTACTAATTGAACACTGTCCAAGAATTCACTGTTGTTTGTGTTATTAAATTGTGAATGTTACCAGCTAATCATCAAACTAAATAACACTGAGATTGCAGTATGTCCAAAGGTGAAAGATCTAGTTAATGGATTGTTGCAGTTTTAAGGTTTTAAATATGGGCCAGTGATATCATTGATGACTATGTTGTCATTAATATTTTAGTGTTGAATTCACACAGAACTTAGTATCAAATAAATAAGCTTTAATTTCCCATATGACAGTAAATCAGAGTAATCTGAATATAGAAATCAGAGACACATACCTTGAAGAGAACTTGACACGATGTACATGATCCTGGTTGTAAGGCATAGAAATAGATCTCTCTTGGACCTTAAAGATACAATGCAATACTTTGGTAGAATTCTGAATCATACATTTTTTGAGTTATTAATTCATGGGAAAATATTCTTCACAAAGAGTTATTTTCTTAAAAATCCAGCTTATAAAATCTGATTTTCATAAATAGATTGTATTTCATTATTACTTATAGTATAACATTAGAACCACTTAACCATAATTTTTTAATATATCCTTGAATTTTAGTATAACAACAGATTCTGGAGATCATATAATCAAACACCCTCATTTATTATTGAGGAATCTGTATCCCAGAGATGGAAAATGACTTTTCTAAGAACTTTACATCAAGTCAAAGGATATCTTTAATCAGACTGTAGGTCTCCCACCTGCTAATTTAATGTTCTTTCTATGTTTTCATATTACTTTTTATAGCAAGTTCAAACTTCTCACTCACTCACCTTTTCTAAAGTGAATACTAGATTTTCAAAAGTTGTAACACACACACACATCACTAAAAACCTCTCAGGAGTCTAAAGTGTCCCTTCTTTATTGTAAAAATTTTTTTATTAGAGTATAGATGCAATATTGTGTTAGTTTATACTGTACAGCAAAGTGAATCAGCTATATGTATACATATATCCCCTCTTTTTTTTTTTTGCAGTACACGGGCCTCTCACTGCCGTGACCTCTCCCGTTGTGGAGCACAGGCTCCGGACGCGCAGGCTCAGCAGCCATGGCTCACGGGCCCAGCTGCTCCGCAGCATGTGGGATCCTCCCAGACTGGGGCACGAACCTGTGTCCCTTGCATCGGCAGGCGGACTCTCAACCACTGCGCCACCAGGGAAGCCCCCCTCATTTTTGGATTACTTTCTCATTTAGGTCACCACAGAGCACTGAGCAGAGTTCCCTGTGCTATACAGTAGGTTCTCATTAGTTATTTTATACATAGTATCAATAGTGTATATATGTCAATCCCAATCTCCCAATTCATCCCACCCCCCCTTTTGCCCTTGGCATCTATATGTTTGTTCTCTATGTCTGTGTCTTTATTTCTGCTTTGTAAATAAGATGGCCTGTACCATTTTTTTCCAGATTCCACGTATGTGTGTTAATATACAATATTTGTTTGTCTCTTTCTGACTTACTTCACTCTGTATGACAGACTCTAGGTCCACCCACGTCTGCACAAATGACTAATTTCACTCCTTTTTATGACTGAGTAATATTCTGTTTTATATATGCACCACATCTTCTTTATCCATTCCTCTGTTGATGGACATTTAGGTTGCTTCCATGTCCTGGCTATTTTAAATAGTACTTCAATGAACATTGGGGTGCATGTGTCTTTTTGAATTATGGTTTTCTCTGGGTATATGCCCAGTAGTGGGATTGCTGGATCATATGGTAATTCTATATTTAGTTTTTTAAGGAATCTCCATACTGTTCTCCATAGTGGCTCTATCAATTTACATTCCCACCAACAATGCATGAAGATTCCCTTTTCTCCACACCCTCTCCAGCATTTATTGTTTGTAGATTTTTTGATGATGGACATTCTGACAGGTGTCAGTTGGTACCTCATTGTAGTTTTGATTTGCATTTCTTTAATAATTAGTGATGTTGAGGATCTTTTCATTTGTTCATTGGCCATTTGTATGTCTTCTTTGGAGAAATGTCTATTTAGGTCTTCTGCTCATTTTTGGATTGGGTTGTTTGTTTTTATTGATACTGAGCTTTATGAGCTGTTTGTATATTTTGGAGATTAATCCTTTGTCAGTTGCTTCATTCAGAAATATTTTCTCTCATTCAGTGGGCTTTTTGTTTTGTTTATGGTTTCCTTTGTTGTGCAAAAGCTTTTAAGTTTAACTATGTCCCATTTGTTTATCTTTGTTTTTATTCTTATTACTCTAGGAGGTGGGTCAAAAAAGATCTTGCTAAGATTTATGTCAAAGAGTGTTCTGCCTGTTTTCCTCCAAGCGTTTTATAGTGTCTGGCCTTACTCATCTTTAAGAAAGTATGTTTTTTTTCACTTTACAACTTGACTGTAATATCATAATCATTTCCAAATACTTTTCAATTCTAAATAAATTAATTTTTATTTTATTAACTATTCATTCATCTCATACAGCAAAAGACTCAAGAAAGAGCACATATAATGATCCAGCTTCCATCAGTAGTGCAGATTTACCTTCTGCCAGCATTAATATATAGGGCCATGGAGTGTTGCCTTGCCTAATTTAATTTTATATCTCTAGGTTTCTACTCAAAATAGTTTTTAGCTAACCACCAAAATAGATCATTCTGACATTCAACAAGGCAGTCATATTAGATTCTTCAGAAAGGAAAATTCAACATGTTACAATAAAAAATAAATATAGCATTTTCATGCTGATAACATTATGCTATAGTTTCTAGAAACTATAATAACCATACTACACTTTTTTTTCTCTTATGTAGTAACTTATCAAGGTTGTCTTTATACTCCAACAGACAGATACATAAGAAGTGAGAAATGTTGTCAATTGTCCACATGTTTTGTTAATGAATGTTTCCAAATACAACCAGATGTTTGGCAGTATGCAGGATAAGCATCTGACTGACTTTTTCCACTTTTGATTCAGATAACTGGAATCATATTGACCCAGTCTAGGCCTCCTGGTTCATGAAGCTGATCTCAGAAAGTTTACTGAAACTAGTTTACCAGAGGCCAAAATTACTCAGAAGAGATAAAGGCCAAAGATAAGTAAGGCTAATGCCTAATATGAATTGACTGTATTTGTTCTGAAAAATGGGGAGAAGAAAATGAGTAGTAAGAATAGCATATGTTATGGCAAATGATGTATTACAAATCAACCAGACACAGCTCATTATATTTTGGTCTTAACGTATCATGCTTATAGTAATAATTCTTATCTGGGAGTAAGAGTAAAGTCATCATTTAATAAGGCAGAGAGGGGGACACATTGCCTCTTGTAATTAAATAATACAATCCAGCCTATGTTCCTTCTGCCAGTAATTAGTATTTATAAAGCAGTACTCTGTTATTCATTTCAGAGGACTGTTAGTATCAGAAAGAACATATTTAAAAAGGATGGACCCAGCAATCCCTCTACAGGGCATATACTGAGAGAAAACCATAATTCCAAAAGACACATGTGGATAGCTTCAAGACAGCAGAGGAGTAAGACATGGAGATCACCTTCCTCCCCACAAGTACATCAAAAATACATCTACGTGAGGAACAGCTCCTACAGAACACCTACTGAACACTGGCAGAAGACCTCAGACTTCCCAAAAGGCAAGAAACTCCCCACATACTTGGGTAGGGCAAAAGAAAAAAGAAAAATCAGAGACAAAAGGATAGTGATGGGACCTGCACCTCTGGGAGGGAGCTGTGAAGGAGGAATAGTTTCCACACACTAGGAAGCCACTTCACTGGCAGAGATAGGGGGTGGGCGGGGGGGAAGCTTCAGAGACATGGAGGAGAGCACAGCAACAGGGGTGCTGAGGGCAAAGTGGAGAGATTCCCGCAACAGAGAATCACTGCTGACCAGGACTCACCAGCCTTAGAGGCTTGTGTGCTCACCCGCTGGGGTGGGTGGGGGCTGGAGGCTGAGGCTCGGGCTTCAGAATTCAGAACCCAGGGAGAGGACTGGGGTTGGCTGCATGAACACAGACTGAAGGGGGCTAGTACACCACAGGTAGCCAGGAGGGAGTCCGGGAAAAAATCTGGAACTGCCTAAGAGGCAAAAGACCATTGTTTTGGGGTGTGTGAAGAGAGGGGATTCAGAGTACCACCTAAACAAGCTCCAGAGATGGGTGCAAGCCATGGCTACCAGCACAGAACCCAGAGACGGGCATGAAATGCTAAGGCTGCTACTGCAGCAACCAAGAAGACTGTGTGCAAGCACAGGTCACTATCCACATCTCCCCTCCTGGAAGCCTGTACAGCCCGCCACTGCCAGGGTCCCGTGATCCAGGGAAAACTTCCCCAGGAGAACACACAGCGCGCCTAAGGCTGTTGCGATGTCATGTGGGCCTCCACCGCTGCAGACTCGCCCTGCATTCCGTACCCCTCCCTCCCCCTGGCCTGAGTGAGCCAGAGTCCCCAAATCAGCAGCTACTTTAGCCCTGTCCTGTTGGGGCGGGGAACAGATGCCTCAGGCGACCTACATGTAAAGGTGAGGCCAAATCCAAAGCTGAACCCAGGAGCTGTGCGAACAAAGAAGAGAAAGGGATATCTCTCCATGCAGCCACAGGAGCAGCGGATTACATCTCTACAATCAAATTAATGTACCCTGCATCTGTGGAATACCTGAATAGGCAACGAATCATCCCAAAATTGAGGCAGTGACTTTGGGAGCAACTATAGACTTGTGGTTTGTTTTCTGCACCTAATTTGTTTCTGGCTTTATGTTTATCTTAGTTTAGTATTTAGAGCTTATTATCATAGGTAGATTTGTTTATTGATTTGGTTGCTCTCTCCCTTTCTTTATATTTCCCTTTTTCACCCTTTGTGAGTGTGTATGTGTGTGCTTCTTTGTGTGATTTTTTTCTGTATAGCTTTCCTTTTAGCATTTGTCCTAGGGTTCCTTCTGTCAGTTTTCTGGGGTTTTTTTTTAGTATAGTTTTTAGCACTTGTTATCATTGGTGGATTTTCTTTTTGGTTTGGTTGCTCTCTTCTTTCTTTCTTTTTTAAATTACTTTTTATTTTTAATAATATATATTTTATTTTTTATTTTAATAACTTTATTTTATTTTTCTTTCTTTCTTTTTTTCCCTCCCTTTTCTTCAGAGCCATTTGGCTGACAGACTCTAGGTGCTGCAGCAGGTGTCAGGCCTAAGCCTCTGAGGTGGGAGAGCTGAGTTCAGGACATTGGACCACCAGGGACCTCCCAGAGCCACGTAATATCAAATGGCGAGAGCTCTTTCAGAGATCTCCATCTCAAAGTGAAGACCCAGCTCCACTCAATGACCAGCAAGCTACAGTGCTGAACCCCCTATGTCAAACAACTAGCAAGACAGGAACA